ATGTTTTCGTTTATGTACCTATGACAGTTTATATTCGGAAAGCTCCAATTTGGAGGAATTGTGTGTTAGAATATTATTTTATAATATACATAATATTGAAAAAACTTTCGTTTTTTGAATTATTGTTATATTAAGTTTAAAATTTCTTTTATCTCATTTTTAATTGATTATTTTTATTCTAGATGCACACGCACACACACACACACACACACACACACACACACACACACACACACACACACACACACACACATAAAAATTATTATATTTAATTTAATAAAATTATTATTAGATACTTTTTATAATTACAACAATTATAGTAATTGTTTTCTGAAACGAAATCTGTATAACATTAAATTTTACCTTTTATTGTTTATATTAATATTTTAAACATGCGGAACATGATGCTTGTATTTTTCTGTTGAATTGCTTACATTTGAGCTAGAAAATCTGCGTTAATTCTGCATGGTACAATTCTAATAATTTTAAAAAACGCAAGCAATTTAGCAGGAAAACAAGCATCGTGTACCGATCATTAATTATATTTTTACAGTTTAATATTTATACCATACTTATATAATTTAATATTTTCTTATTTTTGTATCTTTTTTTTTATTTTGCAATACATTACAATTATTAATGTATTTCTTTTAGTTTTTTACATTTAATTAATTTGCTGTACATACAAATGAACTAGAGCAGCTAGAAAGAAAGAGAGAGAAAAAGGAAACTAAAGAGCAAGTGAAATAGAAGTTTAGATGGCGTTACTGGGGAACTTACTGATTTCGCGCATGCGCACTCCATTTTTGCCAACACTAACATCAAAGGTGCCGACAAAGAGTTGCGCTACTGTATATACTGTGCTTTAGATGCGACCCAAGGTCTGTAAACTCCATTCATAAAACGTATGCCAGCGTTAATAGCGCCGCCTGCTATAGAGGAACCGCCAAATGGAACTTCGTAGCCAAAAAGTTAATATGGTCTTACGCTCATACATATATAGACCCATGCAATTGCATTAACCTACATGGGCCTATACACCGACGAGATATTATTAAAGACCGATATCCTTATGGGAGTTTGCGTCCTTGTTAATATTGAAGTGATTAAGAGTAAAAAAACTGATAATATTGTACTAATTTTATAATTTATTAGTTTAGTAAACGTGTTTATCGGTGTATATGTGCATTTAAAACTCAATAATACTAGATTTTTCTTTAAAATTGTGATTTCAGTGTTATCGTCAAAGTTCGATTATCAACAGAGATAATAACTGCAGAGAAAAAAATTGTAATTTTTCGGCAATATATAGGATATTATAGCTTTACAAATATGCATATTTATTTATAGAGCATTTATGTAATAAAATATCATGAATTTAATAATGTATTAGTCAAATATTTATGTTAATAATAGCAAATTTATATCAATTGTCGATAATGTCAGCGTTCTTCGATTACCTCCGGGCCCTTTTTATACCGCCGAAAATTTGCCCAGGGTTGACGGTCTTTAATAGTATCTCGGTGGCCTATATGAGCATGAGATGCCTCAATTTTTTGGCTACGAAGTTCGATTTTGCGGTCTCTCTATAGACGATGCTACTAAAGCGGGGAGCACAGACTTTTGCAAAACGCATAACACATAAGGCATAAGAAATTCATCCAATCAGAGTTCTTTATTTCATGGAAAGGAAGGAAACGAAGGACTTTGATTGGTACATTTTCTTATGTATTACGTGTTATGCGTTATGCAAGAGTCTGTGCTCCCCACTTAAGGCCGGAATCAGACTACGCATTGAAGATTAAGATTGAAGATTGAAAAATTCAAATTTGACCAATCGAAACGAAAGAAGCTAAAATTTCTTTGTCCTTATTGGTCAAATTTCAATCTTTAATCTTCAATCTCAATCTTCAATGCGTAGTCTGATTCCGGCCTAACGCTAGTATACGTTTTATGAATGAAGTTTACAGACCGTACTGCAATCTTATTTTGAAGCGCCTTTATGTTCACAAAACGACATTAAACTACGTAGCCATGATTCCGTCGATAATGTCTACGATTTTTTTATTGTATTTTCGTTATATCCACGATTTTCGGACCGTTATGCGGGGTCTACAATAGAAGTCGTAGCGGTCGTAAGGGCTTAAGTCGTAGAAAATTGATCAATCACAATTGATTATTCTTCTCATATTCGACTGTGATTGATCAATTTTCTACGATTTAAGACCCTACGACTGCTACGACTTCTATTGTAGACCCCGCATTAGATAGACAAAGACGAACAATCGGTTGTTCAACAAGCGCCAACAGATTGATTGTTCGTTTTTATCTATTTAACGGACCGAAAATTGTGGACACAGCGAAGAATACAATGGACGCGTTCAAGTTGACAAAGCGACTAGCCTGCTCACCGAGCAAATAAACATAATTGATTGTTACTTATAGATCCAACCAATCATATTCAATCGCTTGGTAAGCATGCACAGCCACTTTGCCGTCTTAAACTCGCCCAATCACAAAATTGTGGACATTACCGACGGGATCGTGGACATTGGCTACGTAATACAATATCCACGTTTTGTGGACATCGAGATCAAAATAAGGGTGCAATCCCATGAAGCGTATCGCGCGTATTCAAAATCTGACCAATCACGGACGTTCCGCTATTTTTGATTCGTCGCCGTTTCGCCGAATCCATTATTTTAGTGTAAAGCCTGATTTATAATGACCGTAACCGTTAACTTATGCCGGTGCCGGTAAAGTTCAACCATAGGATTTCAATGCTTTCGTTCATAACGTGCCATATTATTATGAAAGCATTGAAATCCTATGGTTAAACTTTATCATTCGTATTATCGAAACCCTATTTTCTGATTGGTTGCAGAACATCGTACGATGAAAATCGGATGCAGTGTGAATCCAGCAATGGTCACGGAAAACGGAATCGGAACAGTGAAGTGGTAGGGGCAACCAATCAGCATCGTTCCGTTCCGATTTTAAGTAGCCTGGCTTCCCATGGGACATATTTTTCGGAAACGGAAATTTTTCGTACTGTCAATCACCAGTGATCACTAGCGATTAAGAATAATATTGAAAAAATTCAACTAAAAGGAGCATTGAAAAGGTGGAAAACGTCATCTGTAAATATTATAATTACATGTATGTTAAATTATTTTATATTAGATTATAATGATGGTTTTGCATACATTTCTAACCTAACATCATATGTACAATATGCCAGATACCCAGAGAAAACAAGGAAGTAAATATTATGTTAATTTGACGTCATTGTGACTGATTATTGACCGAATCTACATCATTTTTTCGTCATGATTCGGTCAATATAATGTCAAATTGATATTACACTATTCAACAAAAAATAGGGAACACTTTCGAACACGCTCAAAATTGCACAATATTCAGAACACCATAACTCGGTGAAAAATCGTAGAATGATCAATAAAAAAACAAATTGAAGGTAAAGATTCACTCTTTGAAATGCTGTGAACCGCATTATTGTGCAATTTTTAGTACACAGACCTTTGTAAAATTTGATCAAAATTTTCAAATTTAACGGGTATCCATTTGTATCCGCGTAGCTCCATGAAGGATCGATTAAATTGAAATATCGATTACCGATTTGAAAAGTAGAGATTTCAACCTTTAAAATGCTTTTTCGATTTATTTTCTGCGATGATTTTTCACCGAGTTATGGTGTTCTGAATATTGTGCAATTTTGAGCGTGTTCGAAAGTGTTCCCTATTTTTTGTTAAATAGTGTATTTTGACTTTCTGTTTTCATTGGGTAATTAAGCTATCTGGAGATGCTGTCTTCATCGAAATTCTGCCAAGGTGACTGTGGAGTTCTTTGCCATTGTGTATTATATTTTTTATAAGAAATAATCAATGCTGTTTTCGCTTTCATCTTTTCCTACAAGAATCAAATAAAAAATATTTAATATATATAAAACAAAACAAGGTTAATGATGTATGCAAAACCATTATTATAATTTAATATAAAATAATTTAACATACATGTAATTACAATACTTACAGATGACATTTTTCACCTTTTCAATGCTCCTTTTAATTAAATTTTTTCAATATTATTCTTAATCGCTAGTGATCACTGGTGATTGACAGTACGAAAAAGTTCCGTTTCCGAAAAATATGTTCCATGGGAAGCCAGGCTACTTAAAATCGGAACGGAACGATGCTGATTGGTTGCTCCTACCACTTCATCTTTCCGATATCGTGTTCCAATTCCGTTTTCCGTGCCCATGGGACAGCACCCTTAAGTCTGATTTATAATGGCCGTAACCGTTAACTCATGCCGGTGCCGGTAAATTTCAACCATAGGATTTCAATGCTTTTGTTCATACTAACTTGCTGTATTAGTATGAACGAAAGTATTGAAATCCTATGGTTGAACTTTACTGGCACCGGCATAAGTTAACGGTTACGGCCATTATAAATCAGGCTGTAAACCTGATTTATATTGGCCGTAACTTGCCGGTAACTTAAAGACTATAAACTTATGCCGTAAATT